TGCTCCTGGAACACTGTTCCCTCCTTTTGCCCCCTCAGGCTTCGCTGTGTTTTTCCACTATTTTTGTTAAGCCCTGGGTGCCTCTCCATCCTGTGTTTGTTCCTTAATCCTGACCCTACCTCTCAAACAATCCCTTTATTGATGTCTTTCTGGTTAAAATTTTTTGAGTGTGCCACCTGTTTTGTTGGCTTTTTTTTTTTTTTTGGCCAGGATTCTGACTAAGAGCAGAAGAGATCTCAGGTAAAAGATTCCCCAAATCCTAGTGGTACGTTGCTCATAGATTTGATGAGTGCATGGATAATCTCCTTGCGAGGCAGAAAGGGGACTAGTAATTTGAAGCACGCAGAAACATTACAATCACTTAGACTATCACCAGTGAGATGTGTAGTGGATAGAGGAATAAGACATTGGGAGATAAAATACCTGAAGCGCCTAGTTGCTGTGGCCATAAATGGTGGTTTCAAGTGGTGATTACATATATTTTTGGCGTACTGCTAGTTTCTGATTGTGCTAGCAAAATTACATCTAAAAAGATAAGATTAACAACAAACAACTATGAACCAGAGACACACTATGAGGGGTAGGGGACGGGGAAAGGAGGGAGTGGGTTAAAATAAGGGGCTGCAATTGTATGGGGAATATAAAAATAAAATTAAAAAAAAAAGATAAGATTAAGACCATGAATGTCTAACTTAAAGTGTGGGTGGAGACCAATTAGCCTCTGTGGAATTCTTAAGTAATCTTTATTTTATGTGACCATATGGCAGATATAGCTGAAGAGCAAGCCCAAGATCTGATAGTGGGGGTTGTAGAGTTGCAACACAGGGTAAATGTACAACTCCATCATATCCCTTATGCTAGAATTATATCAAAGGCCCTTGGGGTGTTGGAGTAAGGCCAGGTCTCCTGTTAATGATTATTTTCTATTTGAAAAGCAACTCCTGATTTGCCCCTGGGTCCTGGTTTAAGACTAAGATTATAGTTCATCCAGCAACACTGTGACTGAAGGGTGTCATCTACAGCACATCATGTAGCTGATGTGCTCATCAGTATGCCCTGGTGAGATGGACATTTTACATATGTTAGAGGGCAGGGAGAGGAGCACCCTAGAATCGCCGAACCTACCTGCTCTAAATAGGTTCTGTCATCTGCTGCATCCAGACAAAACATACTCTAGTGTGTAAGACCTTCAATGGAAAGGAACTTAAATACAATTAGTGTGCAATACAGAAAAGGGAAAGAATAAAGTTTTCAACTCAGGTTCCCGAAGTTACCTGTCCCCTCATGGGTAAATGCCCAGCCAAACAGGGTTGGCCCAAAGCAAGGCCTGAAAGCTTGCCACAAGTCTAAAGCGCCTTCTGGTGGGGACCCATAGGAAAGGGGCAGAAGGGGCCAGTAAGTCTGGAAGGAAAAGAACAAAATCAAAATCAAAATCAAAGCTGCCATCGTTAACCTCCCCATGGGTCTCTCACCTACATCTGTTTCAACCAGTCGAGGACCAAAAAGCAAGCACAGCTTCTTCACATGTCTCTCTGCTCCATGTGCCTCCTCCTGCACTCCTTCTGGTTCTCCATGCTTCTTCCTTCCTTCTCCAGGTTCCTCTCCAGCTTCTCCTTCTCCCTGCTTAGCTCCACCCTTCCTTGGGTGGGGCAGGGAAACTGGAATCTCCCCTTTTCCTGGGGACCATGCTGTTACATATACAGACCAGGCCTTAGAAGTTTCAGAAGGAATGAGTAAAACTCAAGCAGGTGGGGGCACAAGCGGCTAAGTGTCAGCACTCTGAAGCTATCAACAGCCACTGCAGCAAAAGGAACTGGGGCCAAAGGGGCAGCAGACCTTTCCTGTCTCACCTGCTGCTCCCCTCAGCAGTGTATTTCAGTCAATCTGCCTGTTCTGCTCCCCACTCTGTTTCTGGTGAATCCTCTCACCCCCTCATACCTCTGACTTATACCCCAGCTCTTGTATGCAAAAATTAAATAAATCTTAAAAAAAGAAAGTGTGTACAGGTGGTTCAGATCCCTTCTTATATTGTTTACTGCTTCTTTTCCTGATAACACTTATGCCATTTTGGAGAAGTTTTCTACAGTTAAGATAGGGATAAAAGGCTTAACCTTGATTTTCAGATGGGCCTCTAATGCATGCTAACAAAAGTCAGAAGTCGCAGCCGTTTATCGTCCCATCCATGGCAATGATGAAGGTAAGTGGTCTCAGTGGCAGAATTTCAGGAAGTACACTTAATGTCTACTTTGCCAGGAAGAAGAGATGGCATGAGATTTGGAGTGACACTGATTCATGTGTAGTGGCTGACCGCAAGGTCCCTGCCGTCACCTCTGTAAATGGTCCCATCATTAAATTCCTTTCCATTAAACCTTTTTGTGCAAGTTCTGATTGATAGTATAGTGCATAGCTGGCACAGAAGTTTCAATTAAATTTCAGTATTTTCTGCCTAGAACCCTTGTTGGGAAAGATCCTGAGAATCCACACAAAAGAGTGAAATAATAATAAACAAGGCGTCTGTACCACTTTCATTCTATGAATATTTATTTAGGCCATCCTATGTTCCAGACACTGTTCTTGGCACTAGAATACAGTAAACAAAACTCTTGCAGAATTTTTATTCTAATGAAGGTGATAGGCAACAAAACAAACAAGAAAAAGATATATTGTGTGGGATGGCAATAGGGTTATGAAGAAAAACAAAGAAGGCCAGAGGGCTAGGGAGGGAATATTTGGGGAGAGTGGTAAGCCTTTACTGGTAACATTGGAGTGGAGAGCTGATCTGAAGGGGAGGGAGAGAGCCATGCAGAGATCTGGGGAAGATTCTAGGTATGAAACTTTTGAGGCAAGGATGCATTTAAGGCAGCTGTTATCAGAGGCCAAAGGCAAAGCCTAGAGTGGTAGGAGGCACAGATAGCAGGGGCCAGATAACATTGGCCTTTGTAGGCCTTTTTAGGGTTTGTCTTACTGTGAGTGAGAAGTTGGAAGGAGGAGTTTTGAACAGAGGCGTGACATAATCTGACATATTTTATAGGTGGTTCTGGCTGTCAGATGCAGAGTAGGCCAAAGTGATGCAAGAATGCAAGCATGGGGTCTCCCTGGTGGCCTAGGGGTTACTCAGGCCTCAGCACTATCACTGCTTGGCCTGAATTCGAGCCTGGCCAGGGAGCTAACCCACATGGTGCAGCAAATCTCTCCTGTCTTACCTGCTGCTCCCCTGAGCAGTGCTGAGCAGTGTATTGCAGTGAATCCACCTGTTCTGCTCCCTGTTCTGTCTCTGGTAAATCCTCTCACCTCCTGCACATCTGGCCTACACCCCAGTTCTTCTATGCATAAATAAAAAATAAAATAAATCTGAGAAAAAAAAAAAGACTGGAAGCATGGAGACCAGGTTGGAGGTTATTACAATAATGCAGGGGGGACATGATGTTGATGGGAGTTGATGAGAAATAGTCATTCTGGAAATATTTTGAAGGTAGACTCTATGGATTTGGTGAGGGTTTATGATGGTACCCATCAGCATGGCACAAGGGAGAGGACACAGGCCTCAAGGTTGGAAGGTTGAAGGCACCCACTCCCTTTAGACTAATGGGGGTGAGGGCTGAAGACCAGGGAGGTGGGTTTGAAATGGGTTTTGCCTACACCCACGCAGCCCTCAGTGTGCTTCACCTATTTCATCCTCTTCCCAGTCAGGTCGCTTTTGTGGGACTGTTAGGGGGAAAGGATGTCCTAAAGCTAATTCCATACAGGCTTTGTGGACGCCACCCCCACCCCAGGCCAAAGCCAAAGACACTGGGAACTCCAAATCCCATCACCACCAAAGGCGACCTGAGGGTGGGGTTAAGCAGCCAGGTTGGTATAAAGCCAGACACGTGGGCTTTGGAGGGGTCCCCCATTTTGACTCTCCGCCAGGTTGCAGCGACCTGCCAGCTCGGAGAGTGCTTTTGGGGTTTCCAGGTCGGCGGATCGGGTAGGACGCATTAAAGACTTTATTTCCCTATTTTCTCCCTGAGTTGAACATTTTCCTTATTTCCTTTCCCTTGTAAATAAACCTTTTATTAACCTTTTGTGTGTGCCTGTAGTGGAGTATTCATAAGTCCCTTTTAAGGCCGGGTGAGGACCCACAGCCAGGAACCCGTTCAATATCCGGGCTGCCCTATAACAGCATGAGCTCTGGACACCTCGGGTTCCAGCTCAGGGCTCTCAGCCCTGCCCGGTCCATCCTCCTTCAAGGAGCCTGCCTGGCCTTCATGCTCTTCAGTCGGACCAATTCCAAGTCGCAGGGGTCAGACATCTTGGACGGAGGAACCTGAGCCATCCGGCAGGAGAGCAACAGCTAGACCTGGGGAAATCAGCGAGTCTGTGCTAGGGGCCCGGGGCCAGGGCGTGAATGATTGTGAGGGGAGACCCTCGCCTATGCTTAGTATTTGTTGGCGTGTGGTTAGGCATATCCTGAATTGTGTGCGTAATTGGCGTGTCCGGGGTGTGTGTGTGTGTGTGTGTGTGCCGATGTGTCCTCTATGTGTGTGTGTGTGTGTGTGCCGATGTGTCCTCTCTCCCAGGCCTGCAGAGGGTGCCACAGCCTGTGAAGAGAAGCCCTAGAACGGGGCGCGCCTCCGGCCGTCTGTGGGTGCTGGAGCAGGGGCGGGGTGAGGGCGGAACCAAACTCTGGGGCTGGCGCGGCCCCAGGGGCTCACTTCACTCCAGGCCTCGCCATTCCCACGGCCCCCGCGCCCGAGGGTCCCCGCGCCCGAGGGTCCCCGCGCCCGAGGGTCCCCGCGCCCGAGGGTCCCCGCGCCCGAGGGTCCCCGCGCCCGGGCCGGAAGTGCGGGGGCCGGGACCCGCGGGTGGGCCGCGCCGGGTGGGCCTGGCCCGGAAGTTCCCCGGCGGCCGTTACCGGGGCCCACACCCGGGCCCTCGGGCCACCTCGCCGCCGTTCGGGGCCGGGAAGCCGCCGGCGTTCGGCGAGCCGAGGCGCGCGGGCGGAGGCTGGTGTTCGTCAGCCGACACGGGTCCTCCCCACCCCGGTGTGCCCGGCTCGGCCGGGGTGCGGGCGCCGGCACTGAAGACCCGACATCATGTTCGCCTGAAAGGCTGAAGGAAGTTCACACACCCCCGCACTCCCTTTGCCGCGCCAATAACCCCCCCCATCGGTTCTTTAAACCGTTTAATTACGGTGTCGAGTCTAAGAAACGCTTTCTTTATCCAGTGGAGGGTGATTGTGAGTCCAACTGTGCCAGGCGAGATGCTCAGCGCCCGCGGACGAAGGGCTTCCCCCTGGACGCGCCGAGAACCCTTGTTCAGCTTTTGTCATAAGTGACCTAGGAAAGTGCTAGACCTCTAACCTTGCATGGGATTCATTTGAGAATAACAAAATTAAAAAAAATTTTTTTCAGTGAGATTAAGGACAGGAGAACAGAAATGTCAGCCCACAAGCCCGCGGTTCGCGGTCAGCGGAGGGAGGTTGCAGGCGACCAGCTGCCACCTGGTGGCGGCGCGGGACAAAGAGACTCGCAGCCTGTGGAGTTACTAGGTAGGCGGGCGGGCCGCGGGTGTATTCGGAATCGAAATTGCAGCCGGCAGCTCAAGTGATCAGAAGTGGAATTCTCTTGATCTCTTAATATTTGGATCGAAAATTGCTATTAGCACGATCCACGGTTCTACGCAAAGTCTTCAAGAACATGACAGCCGAGTTTCCCTGGGGCCCTTTGGCTTGCCACTGACTGAGAAATGGATATCTTGAAGAAAAGCAAGTTTTCAGCTTCCTGATAGAACTAATACAATCTCTGCAAGGGAATTGTAGACACCACTAGAAGAATTACAGATAGAGGCTTTAGGAAACGAGGCCTGGTAATTTCAGCATGCACAAAAATGGCAATTCATTGCATAAGATTGATGTCAAAGGACAGAAGCATTGATGATTGTAACCGAACAACATTTTGTCCCAAATCACATGGAGAAATAACACCTGGATGTGGAAGGAACTTCACAAAAGAAGCCGGCTGAAACTGAAGACATGTTTCACAAGCAAACGATTAAAGCAAGGTAACAAAATAATTTTTAACTTTCATAAATAGCAAGTACAGACCTAGTCCCTTTGATCCTCCTATACCGTTAAAGCAAGGCAGAAAAATGCCAAGTGTCTCATTTTTAATCTCTAAAAGGAAGCTATCAAAAGAAAACCTAAGTGTTATTGGTGATCACATTCCTCTAACGGGCTGGTGGATGAGTAGAGAATGAGATGGTGGCTAGCCAAAGTGTGACCCCAGGTTTCATGGGGTGGGTGTGTGGTGCTAAATTTGGCTGCTTAGCTTGGAATTACTTTTAGCTTCCTATGACTGAGGTTAAGACAATTCCATTAGCTGTAATTCCAAGACATCTTACTAGTCCTGTCCATCACTTATATTTGTATAGAAGAAGCCCTTGAAGGATTCATGAATAAGGAGGGGAAGCAGGGGACTTCAGATTCTGAGTCAACACTGGCAAGAAGGAGCCGCCCCCCCCCCCCCCGCCCCATTTCATGAGTGTGTGTTTTCTTTTTGTGGAAGTGATAGCGGTGAAATCTTTTATAAACATGGTATTGGTAATTTTCTGGAGGGCACTGAGGATGACCTTGCTAGAAGATGATGATATCTCAGTTTTAAGGCAAAGGATTGCTTTGGTAGTTCAGTGTTGAAGAAAACTCAGGATTCCAATGAGTTTTCATAATTTGGGGGGATGATGACTTTGTAATTATGGGGGTGACAGATCTTTAGAATTTTTTTCCTCTTTTCTTTTTACATGTCATACAGCAGTCACTGTCTTTCTGTTGAACAATGACAGTTTAGTATTCAGCAAAAATTTATTTTTATCATATGCATGAGCAAGGCATTGGAAATCCTTCAAATTTATGATTTCGTTTTATCTTTTGTACTTAACTTTTGCTAAATATTTACTTGTCTAAGCACCAGTCTTCTGGAAAATTAACCATAATCTCCTTTCCCATTTGGCTCCTTGTAGCTTTATGCTTTTACACACACATGCACTAGAAACTTTTATTGCAGTTTTTGGTAGAGCTCAGGAAGGAGTGAATATAAATGCATGTATTTAATTTGCTATCCTTATCCTGAACTCCTGTTGTCTTTGAATTTAATGGTATTGATCTCTTCCCTTATGGTTTGTATTTAATGGCTTTACCTCTTGTTCAAGAAGTTCTTTTCTACCTTTAAGATTATAAGCACCTATATTCTGTGCTGGTACCCCATTTTTCTATATTTTCCTCTATTATTTTAAACACTAGGTCTTTCATCTACCTCATATGATGAAGCTTTTGAAAATGCTGAGGCTATGATAAAGGCAAAAAGTTTTTTTTGTGTTTTTTTTTTTAAGGAATCGAAATTAGAACCTTTAAGAAAAACAAATAGCTGAGTGACAAAAGAAAAGTAAGTGTAGTACAGGTCTTTGCCTTTGCAGTGAGCAGTATTTACCTGCTCATAGTAATATAAACTCTGACCATGATATAAATATAGTGGAATGATATTTAGAGGGAAGTGACAAGAGAGGAGAGGTGGTTAGAGAGCTAAGTCTCCACTTTTTATAATAGAAATCCAGTTGGTAACTTTTAAAATAGATAAATCAAGAGACAGAGGTCTGGACAAAGTACTTAGACACACAGTACTAATTCCTGGAAGAGACAGCTTAAGTCTCGGCACTACCATCATGAAGGCCTTATGCGACAGTTCGATCCTTGGCCAGGATGCTAACCCACATGGTGCAGCAGACCTCTCCTGTTTCGCCCACTGCTCCTGTTAGCAGTGTATTTCAGTGGATCTGCCCCTGGTGAATCTTCTCACTACTGTACTTCAGTCCTATACCCCAGTTCTTCTACGCAAAAATAAATAAAACAAAAATCTTACAATAAAGGAATATTTTTTTAAAAAGTAGCATGAAATCATTGTTAAGAATAAGCCCTTGGGGCCTCCCTGGTGGCCTAGGGGTTAAGTCTCAGTCAGGGAGCTAAGCTAAATAGCGCAGCAGACCTTACCTCATGTTAGCATTGCTACCTCATGTTAGCAATGTATTTCAGTCAGTCCACCTGTTCTGCTCCCTACTCTGTCTCTGTGAATCTTCCTCCCAACCCCTCACACCTCTGACCTACACCCCAGTTCTTCTATGCAAAAAATCAAAAACAAAAAAACCTCTAAAAGTCAAAAATTAAAAAAAAAGAATAAGCTATTGATTCTTTTTGCTATTTTCTAAAGTCATGAGTATGTATTATTTGTGTTTTTAAAAAAAGTATGCACTTAACAGAAAGAACAGGTCAACCTTGTCAAAGATGACAGTGACAAGGAGAGGGGACACTCATTCTCTCATGAAATAAACAACACACCACATGCCACCACAGCTTGCGGTGAATGACAGGCATGCAAGTGTGGCAGGATAACTTAGGATAACAGGAGTTTTGTTTGTTCTGTTTTTCTCTTTAGAATGAGCAAGTGCTTTGACAAAGCTGAGAGTAGAGGCATCCTGATGTCAAAGTCCCCTTTACCTTGTGTAAAGGTTTTTTAAAATTTTTTTTCAAAGATTTATTTACTCATGCATACAAGAACCGGGGTACAGGCCAGATGCGCTGGAGTGTAAGAGGATTCACCAGAGACAGAGCAGGGAGCAGAACAGGCAGACTGACTGAAATACACTGCTGAGGGGAGCAGCGGGCGAGACAGGAGAGGTCTGCCGCACCATGTGGGATTCTTGCCAGCCAGGATGAAACCTGCTGCAGAGGCTGCGGACAGCTTCACAGCTTCACAGCTTCACAGCGCTGCGCTTAACCGCCTGCGCCACCAGAGGAGGCCCCTGTGTAAAAATTTAAAGTAAACTTGGAAAGAGGTTATGTCCTGGAGGCGCAGGGAGAGGGAGGATTTTGATAAGACCATGGAGGAGGTTGGAGTGTGGGTGATGGCTTCTGCTCCCTGATTGTGATGAGGCAAGTGACAGGGCCTCAGAAGTTGGCCCTGGAGATGGGGTGTCTGGGGTGGTCAGGTTTAAGCCCAGAGCTTTCATATCTGAATTTCCACATCTTAAATGTGGAACCAAGTGAAGAGTTTGAGAGTCTGCACCTGAAGAGTCACACCTGCTGGGACCCCAGGGATCACAGCATTTACTAGTGAGACTGATGTCCAATAGTAGGGTGGTGTGGGGAGCAGATAGAAAGTCTCCCCCTTCCTTGATGTTTCTGTGAGCTTTGCACAGCCCTCAGCAGACGGGGTCCTGAGCGCCCAATGTGGAATTTCTCATGAAGCACTCAGGCTCAGGGGATTGGAGTGGGAATTGAGTCCATTGAGATAACATTTTTGAAATAAGCTACTTCTTGTACATCGGGGTTTGTAGACAAAGATCACTCTTGAGTTCTTATCTGCCTCATCTAATACTCAAACGGCTTCATGACGAGTGCTAAGCGCTGGGGTGTATTCAGGATCCCGGGAAAGAAAAGGTGGTGGGGCAGTTACCTCCAGCTTCTTGCCCTTCTCCCAGGATCTGTCCCCTTTTTTTCCCATTTCGCCTGGCCACAATCAGAGGGCTCTCCTTTCTGGGGGGCTTGGGGGGGATAAGAATTCCTGCTCTGGAGAAGAAAAGGTAGAGGAGAACCAGGCTGAAATTATTTTTTGTAAAGAAAATGGATTTACTTCTGAATTCTGGGATTTCAGATACCTACCAGAGGAGGCATATTCTTTGCCCTCAGGAGGGTACAGAGATCCTGAGACCCAGTCAGGTGAGACAGGAGGAAAAAAGGGGAGGGACAGGGTCTGTCTCCCCTGAAGAACTCTGAGGGATCAAGAAGCCCAGATAAGATGAGAGAGTAGGGCCTCCCCGGTGGCGCAGCGGTTGAACGCTGGGTTGCGAAGCTGCCCGCGGCCTCTGCAGCGCCGGTTCGATCCCCGGTTCGATCCCCGGTTCGATCCCCGGTTCGATCCCCGGTTCGATCCCCGGTTCGATCCCCGGTTCGATCCCCGGCAGCTCCCCGGCCACTGGAGGAGGGTCCCACATGGCGCGCAGACCTCTCCTGCCGCCCGCTGCTCCCCTCAGCAGTGTACTTGGGTCCTTCTGCCTGCTCTGCTCCCCGCTCTGACTCTGGTGAGTTCTCTCACCCTCCCGTGCTTCCTTGGGTCCTTCTGCCTGCTCTGCTCCCCGCTCTGACTCTGGTGAGTTCTCTCACCCTCCCGTGCTTCCCGCTTCTGACTGTACCCAGTGCTTGTATAAATAAACAAACAAACAAATAAATAAATAAAAATACATGCCTCTTTAAAAACAAACAAACAAACATGAGAGAGTATCTAGCCTCGGTAAAGAAGGAGAGCCAGGGGAGGGCTTCATTGAATGGGGAGGTGGGACGTCCTCTAGGATTTTTGGGAGGGGATGGGGGTTCCAAAAGGCTGCCAGGCTGGGACAGAGTGGCTGTAGGTTTCAGTAGAACTTTCCTCTGCCTGTTTCACAGGCAGCCCCAGGCTCCAGCCCCCCTCCTGGAGACCCTTCCAAAGAGGTCCTTGGAGATTTGTGCTCAGTAGGCCCGAAAAGAAAGGGGAGGCATTCCTGGTAGAGGCAGGACGTGATGGAGGTCACTCCTGGGGTGAGAAGCTGCCGGTCATAACCAGAGAGGGGATTTCTTCAAGGCCTCAAAAAGCCGCAGAGCTGCTCGGGCTCCTGGGTGCTCTGGGTGCACCATCTCTCTATGGACCCAGAGAGACCAGGTCATGCCCTGCCCATCAGCCTCCCCTCTGCTGCCGATTGGTCTTGGCACCTGGGAGATGAGGAAGGGCTTGGGTTTGGTGAGAACAGAATTCACCCGCCTGAGCGCTTCCCTGGGGCCTCAGAGCTTGGGCCCCTGTCTTTCTTATGACACAAATACACAACAACAGATCCTAGGGCGGGAGGCGAGGACAGCTTTTTATTCAGTTAGCTATCGATCATATTTACAAGGAAGGCTTGAGGTGCCATGGGGAGCAGGCTCAGGTCCAGGGTCCTGGGTGACCTTTTCTCCTCAGAGGGGACAGTCCTGCTGCCTCCTCTCACACTTCCTGGGAGACTCTCCCTCTTCTGCCTCTCCAGGCCTGGCCTGGCGTGCGCAGCTCAGCTATGCAGGTTAGGACTGCAAGCACAGATGGGTGTTTGCGATGGTTCAAGCAGGAGAAGGGATGTGGCAAAGCCAGCATGGGGCGGGGGGCACTCTGAGGCCCTTGTTCTTCCCTTTCTTAGTTCACTTCTTGTTCCTTGGGTCGGAGCTCCAGCCCTGGTGAGGTTGGTGGGGCCTCCGGGACTCCAAGCCCTTTGGTGGCCTGTGGCCGCTCAGACCTGAGAGGACAGAAAAGGAGTGTGAGGGGCCAACTGAGGTTCCCCTCTTGTCCCCACCCCCCCTTCCCCACCGCTTCTTCACCTTCTTTACCTTTTACAGCCTTTGGAGGCTTTCCCCTTCTTGCCAGGCTTGGACCCCGCCTTGTCCTTCTTACAGCCCTGGCCTTGCTTCCGTGGGGCTGGTGGCTTGTCGAGGCGCTTCATCAGCTGCTGCACCCAGTCCATCTTAGGGTCAGCACAGAGCTCTGGCTGAGAGCGCTTCCGAGGCGAGAACCTGGGGGTTAGCAAGCCTGTGTTGGCTTTGCCTACCTAGCCCGCCCCACTTAGCTGCTGCAGGCAGCCAGCCCCTCATACCCACTCACAGGATTGCCGAGATGGGGCAGCCCAAGCTTGGTTCCTGCTTCCGGTAGCTGCGGACAACATTGGCAGGAATCTTCCTGATGCTGTACCTGAGGCAACAGTCCTGTGCTCCTCCATCATTGCCTGCAGGGTGGGGTTCACAGGAGCCAGGGGCTGCTTGCAGACTCCCACCCAGGCCTCGCCAGCCCCTTGCCCCCATCCTAGGCAACCCTCTCCTTGGTACCTTGGGTCTGGGGGATGCAGAAGGCCAGGACCAAGACAAGGAGGCTCAGAGCCAGTGACTGAGTCATGGCTGTGGCAGAGGGTATGAGGCCAGTGCTGTGGGCCAGGTGAATGACTGCTAGCTGGGGGGTCCGTGTGTGGGTTGGGACTGTTCCGCTCCCTATTTATCGAGGCAGGCTCTCACTTCCCCCACCCACAGCAGTTCTGTCCAGGCAAAAATAGGAATCTCCCTCCTTTTTCCTTCCTGAAAGAGAGAGCATGTCTTGGCATCCAGCCTCACTAGTATGCAGGAAATGAGACTTCATGCAGCCAGCCAGTCCCCAACCCTCTTTCCTGCACTATCTCGTAAATGTGAATTCAATGTCAGTTGAATCCATCAGGTCTTTCTTTTATCCCCAGTCACTATTTGGTGCAGACCTCACCTCCTCTCCCCAGATCACTGAGCACCGCCTCCCTGTTCCACAGGCTCTGGGCTCCCTCCTTCCCCGCCGGCAGATTGAGGTCCATTTCTAAAATGCAAATCTGATTATTGAATTGTAAGAGTTCTTTGTGCCTTCTGGATGATAGAGCCTTATCAGATGCATGATTTGCAAATACAGCCTCCCATTCCGTGCATTGTCTTTTCGCTCTCTTTGTTTCTCCCAAATCAATAACGACTTTTATTGCATCTTGAAGATAAATCACAAATAGGTCTGAGGAATCACCCAGTACCCTGCTGTTTCTGTACCTGGACAACTTAAATCTTATTTAACAGCCCACTGAACTGTTCCTTTTTTGGAGACTTAGATACCATCCCCAAGTTTCCCAGTACCATTGTTTTTAACTGTTGTAACTGGCTGAATCCTGTACAATTTTAATGTCATTTCCCTCAATAATTAGCTCATCTTTCTGAGCTTGACATATTGAACAAGCAATGCCTACCCTCATTTGAACCTTGCAAATGTATTTTTCACCCAAGAAATTTCAGATTTCAACAAGAGAGCCACTCCCCTGAATAAGTGTGATGGGAAGGTGCGTGCACATGGACTGCACCTTGAAAGGGTAGTGCAGCGTAACCTCCTTGACCATGTTCTCTATGTGACCTCAGAGGGTGCCAGCAGTCGCCAGTTCCTTTCTATTTCTCCACCATTTGTCAGTCCAGATCCTCTTTTTCTTTCCAAAGAGATGGAGTTTGACATCGATGAGGCTGAAGCCCCTCCACAGGTGCCTCTGAGGCCCTTCACTATATTTGTGCGACCCCTCGGGGGATGTCCACATTTTTTGGAATGTGCACAGAGTGCTGAGAATGGTCTTCATTCTCATACTAGATGTAGCAAAAGCTCTTTTCACTGTCTTGATCATGTCCTCTGATACACAAACTTAAAAAATGTAAAAATTTGGGGCCTCCCTGGTGGCGCAAGGGGTTAAGAAGCAACCTATGAAGCTATCTGCAGCCAATACAGCACAAGTTCCATCCCGGGCCAGGGAGCTGCCCACATGGTGCAACAGACCTCTCCTGTCTCGCCTGCTGCTCCCCTCAGCGGTGTGTTTCAGTCGATATGCATGCCTGTTCTGTTCTCCACTCTGTCTCTGGTGAATCCTCTCACCTCCCACACCTCTGGCCTGTACCCCAGTTCTTGTATGCATAAATGGCTAAATCTTTTAAAAAAATTTAGAAATTTTGATAAAGTCCAATTTATGTGTTTTTTTCTTTCTGTTGTTGGTGCTTTTATTATATTGCCAACTCAAGGCCATGGCCAAACCAAGGCCATGAAGATCTTTCCCTGTGTTTGCCCCCAAAGTTAATAAGATATAATTGACAAGTGAAATTATGTATGTTTAAAATATACAAAGTGATAGTTTGAGAGATGTATATACTGTGAAATAATTATCACCGGCAAGTGAGTTAACATCTTCATCTCTTCACATAGTTTCCTTTTCCTTTTTTTAAAAATTTATTTATTTATTTATTTTTATTTATGCAAGAACCGGGTTATAGGCCAGATGTGCGGGAGGGTGAGAGGATTCACCAGAGACAGAGTGGGGAACAGAACAGGCAGGCTGACGAAATACACTGCTAAGGGGAGCAGCGGGTGAGACAGGAGAGGTCTGCTCGCCATGTGGGTTGCTCCGAGGCTGGCGGGGATCGAACCAGCACTGCAGAGGCTGCGGACAGCTTCACAGCACTGCGCTCAACTGCTTGCGCCACCAGGGAGGCCCTTCTTTTCCTTTTTTGTTGTGAGAATGGGTAAGATTTACTTCTCTCTCAGCAAATTTCAAGTGTACAATATGGTATTGTCCACTCCAGTCACCAGAATGTACATTCCACCCTCAAAATTTATTTATCTTGTAATTGAAATCTTGTAACCTTTGACCAACATCTCCCCATCTTTCCCACCCTTCACCCCTGGCAACCACTATTATATTCTGTTTCTGTTTAAAAATAAAATTCCACAGATAAGTGATACCCTACAGTATTCTGTTTGGATTATTTTACTTAGCATTTCCCCCTCCAGTTTCATCCACATTGTTGCAAATGGCAGGGTTTTCCCTTCCTTGCCTAACAGCTGAATAATATTTGATTTAATATATATATGTTTATATACGTATATCTCACATCGGTCTTATCAGACACTTTGACGGATACTTAGATCATTTCCACATCTTGGCTATTGTGAATATGCTGCAGTGAGCAAGAAGTGTAGATGTTGCTTCGAGGTAGTGATTTTCTTTGGATGAATACCCAGAAGTGAGATTGCTGCATCACGTGGTAGTTCTAGTTTTAATGTGTTTGGAAACCTCCATACTCTTTTCCATAGTGACTGTTCCAATTTACATTCTCACAGTGTGCAAACATTCCCTTTTCTCTACATCCTCTTGAACATTACTTTTTTCTTGTCTTTTTGACAGTAGCCTTCATGACAGGTGTAAGGTGATATCTAGCTATGGTTTTAACGTACATCACCCCGATGATTAGTAGTACTGAGCTTCTCCTTATATACCTGCTGGCCATTTTTTATTTCTTTGGAAAACAGTCTATTCAGGTCTTTTGCCAATTTTTATTCAGATTTTTGTTTCATGCTTTTGAGTTGTCTGAGTTCCTTATGCATTTTAGGTATTAACTCCTTATTGTCTATGTGGTTTGCAAATTGTTTGCTGCAACCTTCTTCATAAAGTTTAGAAAGGGTTTATTTTTCTATCCCAAAAAAGACGCCATCTTTACTCCCGATTCCAGAAGCTGTGCTACTGTATCCCACAGCTTTCATAGCCTATTCAACTTGAAAAACTTCCACCGGGAGAGAATGTAGTGGCAGGACACAGCCATGACCACTGAGCTCATGGTGGCCAGGACTTGTGGAGCCTCAGGGCCTCAAGCGCTGCCCCTGCTCTCAGCCATGATGCACTTTTGGTAGGATGTGTGTTCTCAGAAACTTAGCACAACTTCTAACCTGTCCAATTTATTGGCATGTAATTGTTGATCATTAGTTATGATCCTTTGTATTTGTGTGCTCACAACAAATAAACGAGGAGTTATTATCTCTCTTTTATTTTTGATTTTGAGTCTTTTTTTTCTTTTTCAGTTAAATTAATTTTGTTTGTCTTTTCAAAAATCAGCTCTTAGTTTTATTTTTTTTAAAGTCTATTTCATGTATTTCTGCTCTGCTCTTTGATATTTCCTTAATTTGTTCTTTTTCTAGTTCCTTTGGGTGTAAAATTAAGTTGCTTATTTGAGATCCTTCTTTCACTTTTTTTTTAAAGATTTATTTATTTATGCATACAAGAACTGGGGTACAGGCTGGAGGTGTTGGGGGGTGGTGAGAGGATTCACCAGAGACAGAGTGGGGAACAGAGCTGGCAGATCTACTGAAATTCACTACTGAGGGGAGCAAGGGGGAGACAGGAGAGGTCTGCTGTGCCATATGGGTAGCTCCCTGGCTGCTGGGGATAAAACTCCTGCTGCGGAGGCTGTGGATAGCTTCACAGTGCTGTGCTTAACCCCTTGCACTACCAGGAAGGCCCTGGGAAATACTTTAAATTATAGATACCTTAAGCAACAGAAATGGAACATACCAAGGCTTATGTGATGCCACAAAAGCAGAGGGAAATTTATAGGGTAAATTCCTATATTAAGAAAAAAGATCCCAGGCCTCCCTGGTGGCGCAAGGTGTGAAGCACAGCACTGTGAAGCCATCTGCAGCCTCTGCACCATAAGTTCAATCCCCAGCCAGCCAGGGAGCTACCCACATGGTGCAGCAGACCTCTCCTGTCTCACCGGCTGCTCTTCTCAGCAGTGTGCTTCAATCAGTCTGCCTGTTCTACTCCCTACTTGTCTCTGGTGAATCCTCTCACCCCCCACACTTCTGGCCTGTGCCCCATTTCTTGTATGCACAAATAAACCTTAAAAAAAAAAAAAAAAGAAAAGAAAAAAGATCCCAAGATTACATGGTTTTGTAAACAACTGGCAAATTAGTAAAAGTTAAAAATAAATAAATAGTAGTCATTAAAAAAGAAGCAAAAGTGGGGACCTCCCTGGTGGCGCAAGGGGTGAAGCACAGCACTGTGAAGCTATCCGCAGCCTCTGCAGCAGGAGTTTGATCCGCAGGCAGTCAGGGAGCAACCCACATGGTGCAGCATGGGAGGATAAGGATTGGGAGCTATGAGGTGAGGAAGGAGTGGACCAGGTTGTGAAACACAGTGCTCATTTATGTCAAATGTTATCTACAGCCCATTTAAGTCCCATATTTAACGACCTTTGCTCAATTCAGGAAGCTCTATCAGGAATATAGCCTAAGCTTCTACCTCTGAATCTGGGACTGTATTGGCAGAACAGTTCAATCCTGGAGGTTTTGGCACCTCCCTGCTTGCTCCTGAGTCTTAGAGCCTAAATTAGGGACACTGACAGAGGGGAGCAAGCAGTGGGGGTTTTGTGGGCTGAGGATAATTGTCAGGACAAAATTCGGGGGCTGGAAAGAGCTGCTATTCAGGGCCTCCCCGGTGGCGCAGCGGTTGTTGAGCGCTGGGTTGCGAGGCTGCCCGGAGCCTCTGCAGCGCCTGTTCGATCCCCGGCTGCTCCCCGGCCACCGGAGGAGGGTCCCACATGGCGTGCAGACCTCTCCTGCCGCCCGCTGCTCCCCTCAGCGGTGTGCTTTGGTCCTTCTGCCTGCTCTGCTTCC